ATGTTTTAGAAAGGACTCGACACTTGCCCATGAAAAATTTTTATTCGATATTCCTATGGTGTTTAATGTACAAAAGACGATTTTAAAAACGCAAGCTCTAAAAATCAATTGAACAGAAGTTATCGAGGGTTAAACATGCCGATTTGGGCTTCAAAAAGTGGTTCTGTGTGTGCGCGGCCTAAAGGCGTCAAATTACTTCCTGTGACGTAAAGAGCAGAGCGCGCTCAACTTAAGTTGTGTTAAGCTCTGCCTTGCATATAAATAATCACGCAAGCCTATAAAAGATAAACGAAATCTTGACGTTTCGAGCTCTCCCTTACCCTACTAAAGGCCCGGTCACACTACACAACGATAACGATACGATAAATTGTAAACACGCGATAATTGGAAAAAAAATTCTGTTAGTGTCCATACTACAACGAAAATAATAAAATTATCGTTTGACGATAACGATTTTAAAATCGCTCACCCGAGCGATTTTTTTTTCAGTCTAACGATAACGATACATTTTTGACCAATCAGCGCGCGTATACAAGTTATCGTATCGTTATCGTTGTGTAGTGTGACCTGGGCTTAACCTACGTGACGAAGGAAGGGCCTTCGCTCGAAACGTCGAGAAGAGATTTCGTTTAACTGTTATAATTTATAAGCCTACGAGATCGTTAGTACAAGATAGAGATTATATACTACGCATCCACACCTCAGCCGACGCTGAATAATATTACAAGCAAAGATTTTCATATACATATTAGCCGCGCAAATATGGAGGAAACGTCTCATTCATGTGAAATGAGGAGGAAAAAATTCTAAAAGTGTTTTGTGTTCCTGGAGGGCCAAATAAGAAGCCATGCACAAGGGCGATACACCAGCATTAGCAGCCCAATGGGTTCGTTTTGTTCGAAGACATCGATCTGACTTTGACCCTGAAACGTCTTCTTCAAGAATATGGTTGTGTTCGGCACATTTTGACAAGAGCTATTTTGACGAGAACTATTTTAACGAGAGCTCTTCAGCAATTTACAAGGTTTCGATAGCAGAAACACCAGGGGCGTAGCCAAGGGGGGGGCAAGGGGGGGGCGGTCGCCCCCCCAATCGCAAAAAAACTATTCTCTGAAAAAGGCTAAATCCGTAGAGAAATGGGGGGGGGGTACACGTTACATCCTCGAAGCTGAAACGGATTAAGTACGTCTCGACTGAGGAAAACGACGAAATACTGGAAGAACTTGATTTCTAAAATCTCGTTAAAACAGTTGTAGATATGGTTCCAAGAGGAATAGATTTAGTTTAGATTTACATGTATATGCATTATGATAACATGAATATTCTTCTCAGACTTATTCTGCATCATATATAAAAGCGAGTAGAAACTTAGAAATGTCTGGGAAAATTTATGTCTTCGACGTACTTTATAATCTTCGGGATTCTGCAAGATTTCACCCCCAAAATGCTTGAAATCACATTTCAGGGACTCTAAATTTTAAAATTTTCCCTGGGGTGCATGCCCCCGAACCCCCCTAGAGCGTACTTTATAATCTTCGGAATTCTACAAGATTTCACCCCCAAAATGCTTGAAATCACATTTCAGGGACTCTAAATTTCAAAATTTTCACGGGGGTGCATGCCCCCGGACCTCCATAGATGGTCTCGCGCCTTCGGCGTTCGCTTCGCCTCCCCCAAAAATGAAGGTCTGGCTACGCCACTGAGAAACACCAAGGGCTTTTTGACTCGAGGCTCAGTTCCAACGATTGACGACGTTGTTGAAACATAGAAGATGTCATTGCCATAGCGATTGTGTCGGAAACTATACAGATTAATGACGTAGGTGACATATCACGTGATTCTTTTAGGTGCTATCATCTTAGTGATTTGGGGGTTGGGAATTAATAATAACTTTTTTACACCCAACACCAACAAGTACAAACTATCAAAAAACGTACAAGTTTATGACTCGTGATTTGTGACTTTGTGAAAGTGTGGATTTCTACAACGTGTTCCCCACATTATTGGCACCTCCGACAACGGGATAAGTCAAGTCAGCTGTGAAACTGTGAGTATGTTCCAATTGTTTTCTGCATGAAAAGCCTTGCGTGACCATTCGAAACTGTGAAAAACCGCGACTTTATTAATCATGTCCATGAAAAAGCAACTCACAGAGATAGACTCTAAGTTAAAAACTTTACGTCTTAAACTAAAGCAAGCCGAGGAAATCATAGCAAAACGTGATAGAGAAGCCGTCGAACGGCACCGGGTTACCATTTTGAATTTAACTAAAGCTGTCAAAGATCTTCGTAGCTCTATCGAAGAACTAAAATTTAGTGCGGGTGAATCGGAAGAAACGGTCACAACATGGTCTCGGGAGATCGCACAAGAGCTTTCTTGCGCCGATAAATCTTGCGCTGAACTATCTAAGTGCGCTAAAGTGATTGACGATGGATTTAAAGCGGCTGAAGAAGCCAAACAGCAAGAAACTGTGATTGGATTTGAAAAACAATTTATACAACAAAAGCTTGAAGCCGAACTCAAACAAAAGGAGCTCAGTGTGACATCATCCACGGCGGTAAAACTACCGAAACTTACGATAACTAAATTCAATGGCACTCCTTTGGATTGGGTTCGGCTTGACTGTCAATTCAATGCGATGTTAGATAGTCAACAAGTACCAGCTATCACCAAATTTTCTCACCTAAAGGAACTCGTTGTTCCACGTATTAGAAGTGCGCTTGACTGTCTGCCATTTACAGATGAAGGTTATGCACGCGCCATAAAGTATTTACGCGAGAAGTATGGTCACCCTACTGAACGGTTGCCGGCCACTATATCATTGCTTTGTTTGAGTTACAGCCTGTTACCGAGTGCGATGTTCGTAAAATACATAAATTTTATGAACAACTATTGTTCAATGTCGAGAGCCTCCGCACACTGGGGAAACTTGAGATGATTGAAGGTGCTTCCTTTTACATCATAATTAAGAAATTAGAGGTTTTAAAAGCCGAGTTAGTCGCGCATGTTTCGGGTGATTGGAGAGATTGGTCTTTTTCAGAACTGCTCGAGGCTTTAAGAAAATAGACTGAGACAAATGCGTTTATTTAACCGAAAAACGAATCTCTAGGCGACCAGAAATCTCGAACGGGAGTGCATTTCACTCGCGTGATTCTAATGTGTGTGTTTATTGTCAAAGTACCGATCATAAGACCACCCAGTGATGTAATTTCATCGCCTGAAGCACGCAAGAAATATTTGGCTGATAACAAGCTTTGCTTTAATTGTGCCTCGGGGCAACACGCAGCCAGCAGCTGTAAAAGTAAAATTTCCTGCCAAGAATGTAAGAAACGGCATCATACGTCCATTTGCTTAAACCCTGAAAACAACAGTGAGCTGGCGATGACTTCAAACGTGAATTTAACCAATTTGAGAAATGGGACAAATAAATTGCCTCTAACTACCGTAGTTCATCCAATCGTGGTAGTTAAAGTCGGTGGAATGAAATTCCGTCCGTTATTAGACAGTGGCGCCAGTCAATCGTATGTTTCTGCCAGATAGTCGAACTCACGCAAGCAAGTGAAGTTAAGAGGGAAACGCGTAGAATTGCTACATTAATGGTACTTCCACTTCCAAATTTTCCCAGTACGATATCCGTCTCGAATCAGTGAAAGGAAATTTCGAACTGGAAGCACGCGTCACGAATATCGAGAAAAGTGAACTTTTAAGCTTAGAAAATTCCCACAACTACGAGTTAATTAATTAAGAACTATGCTCACTTGCGTGATATCGAATTAGTCGACGTGGCTACCAAACAGAAATTACCGGTCCACATGATTTTGGGCGCCAACGAATACGCCAAAATACGCACGTCAATTCAGTCTCGTATTGGTAGACAAGGAAAACCAATCGCTGAGCACTCTCGTTTTGGTTAGGCAATAATGGCCCCGGGTTTAGATAGTGATGACGTCACTGGCTTTCTAGCTGTTAATTCTTCGACAGACTATGAGCGTTTATGCGCTCTAGACGTTCTTGGTTTAGCAGACTCTCCGTCGGGTGATCAAGACGTTGTGCACCAGAAATTTCGCGAACAACTTACACGTGATCCTGACGGCGGTTGGTACGAAACGAGTTTGCCTTGGAAAGGTAATCATCCCTCCCTTCCTGACAACCGAATAGCTAGTCTTCGCCGCCTTCAGTCAGTCGTGAAAAGATTGATACATCAACAACATCATCAATGAGCAGCTGGAACTAGGCATAGTTGAAAGGGCACCACCTGAACCTGTCGGTCGTGAGTATTACATGCCCCATCGTGCAGTGATCAGAGAAAACGTCCAAAGCACAAAAATGCGTATCGTGTACGATTGTTCAACCCGCGCTGAAATGGGAAGCCCCTCGCTGAACGAATGTCTTGAGACTGGTCCAGCTCTTCAGAACAAGTTATGGGACGTCCTTGTCCGCGGTAGATTCCGTCCCGTGATCCTCGCTGCAGACATGAAGAAAGCGTTCCTCCAGGTGCGTATTCGAGAAGAAGATCGCGATGCTCTACGATTCCACTGGCTAAGGAACATTAATTCGAACGAAGTTGTGTCGTTAAGATTTACGCGAGCATTATTTCGGTTGGTGTCCTCTCCATTTCTGTTAGGCGAAGTGATAGAGCAGCATTTGACTAATTGGGCGCCGAGATTACCTGATCGAGTTAACGAGATTTCTCGGGATCTTTACGTGGATGATCTTATATCGGGTGCCTCTTCCGTGTCCTCAGCAAGTGATCTGAAGCAAGATGCTATTACCATCTTTGAATATGCTTCGTTTCAGCTCCACAAGTGGAATTCGAACGCTCTTGACCTTGAGTTGAACCAACCTTCCTCACAGAGTGACACTGACCAAACCTATGCCAAGCAACAATTCCCTCCATCCTCCGAAAGTGACGGTAACTCCTTGGCGTGGCTTGGGACAAACGTAACGATACTTTGAGTGTGGTTTTCCCCCCAAATCAGGACGTGTCAACGAAAAGAGAAATGCTTGCAAAGCTGGCGAGTATTTACGATCCACTTGGATTCGTGTCGCCCATCTTGCTCCAAGGAAAGTTGATGTATCGCGATTCACGTGTGGGAAAACTACCGTGGGATTCTTCATTGCCCGAAAACCTAGCAAAGCGTTGGAAAACATGGGAATGTAACCTGCCTCCTATCTTATCAACACCTCGGAGTTTGGCTACATATCGTGAACCAATCAAAGCGATAGAGCTGCATTCGTTCGGCGACGCAAGCGGTCATGGAGTCGCTACTGCAGTTTATGCCATAGTTCGTCAGCCAAGTGGTACAACGCAAGGCCTGGTAGCCGCCAAATCCAGATTAGCGAAGCAAGGTCTCACAATTCCTCGACTGGAGTTGGTTGCTGCACACATGGCAGCAAATATCGTAGATAACTTGCGGCGTGCTCTTGAAGGTTTCCCTGTCGTCTCGGTACACGGTTGGACCGATAGCACTGTGGCCTTGCATTGGATCTGTGGAAATGGGGACTACCGTCAGTTCGTGAACACAACATCGACGCGTGGAGATATGTTCCTTCAGGAGAAAATCCCGCAGATTTAGCAAGTCGTGGTGGCTTGGTTGACAACGATCTATGTTGAAACGGACCGTCGTGGTTGTCCAGTTCTGAAATGTGGCCCACGAATCCTGTTACGAAACCAAGTCCAGAGTCGGCAGCAGAGTGTAAACTAATTCGTGAAGTGATTGCTAACGTGACAGTGAGCGAAAGGGATGAATTTGACGATCTACTCGAGCGAGGCAACCTGAAGAAAACGTTAAGAGTTTGTGCACTGATGAAGAGATTTCTAGACAAATGTCGTGGTGTCCCAGCTGCTAGTGGTCCTCTTACGTCAGTTGAGCTAGAGTCACAGATGGAGTGGTGGATACACTGAGCTGTATAATAACTGGAGGACCTGCTCCTATCTCTCGTCAGTCAAAAAAGTGTCGCCAAAAACATGGCGGATTTTGACGCCATATGACGCCATTTCCATGGCAACTGGTCCGAAAACCTCATGGTAGTTACCACTGACCAGGCTCAATTCTGAGCCCACGGCAGTTTTCACACCCCCCTGGTTTTTTGCAAAAGATTTGGTTTTGCAGATAAATATTTATTTTATAGTTCTCGTTGTTTTAAATCTTTTGTTTACATTTTGAGATATATTTACTACCTTTGACCATTTGGTTAAAGATATGCAAGTCGTACGTGTTATTCTCGGCCGCGAAAGGCAAACAAAACCGCGAGAAATGTGGGAAAAAGAGTATTGAAGACGATACTTGAGTCGGGTAAAAAGGTAGGAGACGTCTAGTAGTCAATTTTACTTATTCTTTATCTTTAATATTTGACATGAAATTGGTAAGCCTAACCATGAAATACACTTCATTTGTTAAGAAAACAAGCTTTCAGCTTTCTACAGTCCAAATTTCATATTGTAAGGTGTAATATTTCCCATTATTTTAACAAGCTGTAAAACATTCACAAATATTTATAGTTCTAAACAACAAAGATTTGATATTCACAAATTTGTATGATATATACTGTCTAAACTCACTAAAGTGCAAACTATCTTGTGTAATAATGTTAAAAAAGTTGACTGCAGAGACCTGAGGTCTCGTTTTATTACTTTTATAAACATACACTTGATGAAACTGTGATGTGTAGGGTTTGTTTATTTAATATGCACCAACTTTTGTCTACTAAGCTACTGGGGTACTGGAAGCTGGCTTATCCAGAAAGGTAGATTTTGTCTACCTATAAAAGCCTCTCCAATCAGGAGACACTTTTTGTGTCATTATACACCTGATTATAAACTCCTTAAGCACCAGTGCTCTCCCCTCGACAAGTAAAATTGTCTGGTGTTTATCAATTTATATAAAATAGGGTGCATTAAGGTGCAATGCAACTTTTAAAGCAGTTTAATGAAAGCATTTCTAAGCAGCATTGTATGTATACCTTTAAGACAGGAATAAACCTGCAGCCATCAGTGATTCTGATGCAGTGTTCAAACCAATTTATACTGATCAGCTACAGTTGTCGAGCTGTAGTTGCAAATTAATTCATGTAAACATCATAAGGTGAAGCCTGTAGTAAGGTGCAAGGGTAAATGTCAGGATTTTGGACATCACACTCAACAGAACTTTAAGTATCGAAGGTAGCGTCACCAGACGAATATTTTAAGTGTGAATTTTATACATATTTAGACCTAACCAACCTAAAAATATAGTTGCATCTTTTGCAGCTGCTTTAACCACAGGTCTAAAAATGTATAAAATTTACACTCAAAATTTTCATCTACAAAAACCCTTCAACATTTAGTGATGTACATCAGCATTACCATGTAAATCCCTTTTCTCACCAAACATGCACTTACTGCATGTACAGTAATAGTTGGTGGTCAACATAGGAATATTTGCACAAGAAATCAAGAATAGACATTACTGTACCTCTCAATTCTTTATTTTTCTCATACGGAATACATGGTCTGCTTTATTAAATTAATATGTAATTCTTAGATAATAATTAAACTGCTTTATATTTTTTTAGACCAAGACGTGTTCACTTAAATTAAGGGAGAGGTATTGTCAGTGGCCAATTTGAGGAATCTGATGCATTAGTGGAATACTGCATGTGGTCATGAAATTATACTTCAATGCTGCAATCCTCAAGGTCTGAAAATTGGAGGTTTTGTACCAACCTCTGTTAATAAGCAGGGATCCAAAGGACGTGTTTAAGTAACACTACTAGTTTTGTAAAGAACATGAAACACTCCTGATGATATATACGAGATTTGTTGAAATAGTTGAACTGAGGCAATGATAGTAATTCAAGCATTTTGGGGGAAATTTTTATTAAAAATGTACTTGTTTTTAAAATGTAAATTTATATTTGACTTATAATTTTCTCAGAACCAATCCAATATCCACTACATTAATTTAAACATATTTTCAGAGGTCAAGTAACTACCAATGATTTGAGCTCTAGGTTTGGAAATAGAAATCACAAAATGTTAACGAAAATTTTAATAAATTTTATATATTTACATAATACGTACTGTAATTTAGTATTTATGACAAAAAGTATTTAATATAATCATTGAAAGTCGTATTGAATTAAATTACATTAATTAGGCATTCATTATTGATGGGGGGGGGGGAGAAACTGGGGGACCTGAGATTTTCCCAGATGAAAAGGGGGACTAAACCAAATCCTGGGGGGACCTGACATTGAAGGAAGACACATTTACAAATTTCAAAAATCATGATGAGGGTGAAAACAGAAAGAAATCAGATTTACATAAACTTCATCTTTGAATTTATTTATGAAGTTATCAAATACATCATTTCTGAAGTTATCCAAAACACTCACAGTACATGTTTCATCAGATCTATTAAAACACTTGGGTATTGCCTCATGTTATAAATCTGATAAAAGGTTGTTGTTGGTGCTTTGAATATATTTTAATACAATATAATAACTAACTTTCTTTTCTGCTCTCTCAGTCCCTGCTGTACAATTGTACAAACATGTACATACTACATTTAGACACAAGACGTACATTTAAATTTAATGTAGTGTGAATTAAAAAATTAAAGTCACTGTGTGTAGTACTCTTTATTGTCAATAAAAGAGTTGCACCATAATTATACTTGACTACAGTAATTGGTAAGTGACTAATTATTATCATAACTTCAATTTGTTCTTCTCCATTTTGGCATCCTGTGCCATCTCTTCTGGTACCTGTATTAAACATGTCAGATAAATCCTGCAGAAAAAGATAACATTATTCATGTTATTACACATCTTTAGTAATTAACAAAAATATAAATAAGTATTACATATATGTTAACCCTTTAAGTGGCAATGCACCCTAATGTACTTTAGTGGAGAGCACTGCCACTCAGTGGATTAAATCTTCTGCATGGTTATGCATGACTATTTTACTCATCAAGGGGAGAGTGCTTATGGCACTCAATGGAATATAAATCAAACTATCTGCATACCCAATGTGCCCAACTTTAGTTAATCTTACTCTGTCTAACACCAGATTATTTTACTCGATCTGTCTAATGCCAGACAATTTTACTTGTCAAGGGGAGAGCACACTGGTGCTCCATGGGTTAAGGCAAAAAAGCTTAAAGAACTATGATATCCAACAATCTAAAGTGCACGGTCGTATGGTGGCAACCTAAATCACCCCCCCCCCCCCCCCAATAAGTGGCCACCACTGCCCTACAACCCCATATATAAACACTGCTACAAAAAGCCTGGCAAAAGTAGGACTTGCTTGTCCAAGCTCAGTGCGACTCGCTCATTGTGGGGGAATATGCAATATGCAGCCTTGTTCACGGGACATGAAGTCTGTGCGGTTTCTGGACTATCACTTGCTGTTACCCTATTGAGAGAGATTGTTAAATTTAGCTCAAAAGAAAGTTTCAGTTATACCATATCTCTCTATAAATTAAGCACATAGGCAAGCAATCACGCTTATCCAACTTTTGCACACTGCTTTGAACACTCCCAGGTCCTGGGTATTTTGTTCCCTCTGTCTCACACTCTCTGTCTTTGTGCTTATCTATATATTAATCCTGATTCACACCATATATAATCTGTACGATCATGTGAGCAGGTGAACAACCACAATTATAAATTTATATTAAAAACTGGCAATAAAAAACACAAAACAACATAATTTCATGTCCACAATTTTCAACGATTATAAACAGGATTTATGTGTCCGTACCCGGTTGCAGAGGCTCTTTAATGTGTCTGCTACTGAAATATTTTCTGTATATATATAGTAGCATGAGTTTTTGACTTATATAGTTATACTAATATAGTCATTTGACTCATTTCGAGAGTCATTTTATATCTAGCAAGGTTCTACAAAGTAAAAATAGTTTCATGAATCTTACCTGAAAGAATAGTTAATCTTTCTTGATAGTGAATTCTTGCATCAACAAACGGAACAAAACGGCACTTTTCCTCCACATCGTAAAGCAAGTAAAGTGCGAGGAAAAGATTTTCTAGCTAAAAAACAACCGAAAACAGCTCTAAATTCTGAAATATTTGTGTAAAAACAGGGGGTGCAGGACTTTGTTTAATGCTTCGGATCGCGGTTGGTCAGTGGCAATTACCATGGAGACTTCGGACCAGTAGTCATGGCAATGGCGTAAGCGCCGCCATGTTTTTGGCGACACTCTTTCATGCCGAGCAGGTCCTCCAGTAATATAGTATAGCTCAGTGGGTGGATACGACGAGTTCAATTCCGTGCAGAAACCTCGCTGAAGTTTCCGGATGACAAACTCCAACTAAATCTTCAAGCCAACGTACGTGGGATACTCGAGTGCCGTGGTCGAATTCAAGGTCACTACCCTGTATACCTGCCAGATACGAGTTTGTTCACAGAGAAACTAGTTCAACGCGAGCACTGCCATACGATACATGGCGGGTTCGGCCTCACCATGGCTCGTGTCCGTGAAAAATACTGGGTTCCTCGACTGCGGAAACTTGCGAAAAAAGTGATTAAGTTGTGTTGTGGATGCAAATGCTTTCAAGCTCGGGCACTCGCTGTCCCTCCTCCCGGCCTTTTGCCCAAGGAAAGAACTGAGGGCTCTGTGCCCTTTGAAATCGTTAGCGTGGATTTTACAGGCCCCATTCGTTATCGAAAGTCTCCACGAGCTGAAGGGAAAGCATACTTCGTTCTGTACGCGTGCAGTTTATCAAGGGCCTTGCATTTGGAAATCCTTCCTAATCTCGAGACAACAACCTTTCTTGGCAGTCTTAAGCGTTTGATTGCGCGTCGGGGTCGGCCCGTGAAGATGATATCTGACAACGGTGATACATTTATCGGGGCTGCGAGATGGCTGAAACAAGTTAGAAAGGACGAGCAGCTTCAAGGCTATTTGGCAGATGAGCAGAATCACTGGAAATTTAATTTAAGTCGTGCCCCTTAGTGGGGTGGACAGTTTGAGAGATTGGTGGGGATCTTTAAGCGTGCCTTTTACAAGTGCGTTGGGGGAGGTACGCTTTCGTGGAATGAGCTTGCCGGCGTGGTTCTCGATGTCGAGATTCAATTGAACAGGAATTTCCTTGTCCTTCGTAGAAGATATTGACCTTCCTTTTCTAACTCCTTCGGCGTTTATTTACCAACGGACGAGTCGTCTTCCCGAGCAGGAACCTTGGCGAGAAGAAGATGCGAATCTTCGTAAGCGAGCAAAGCACTTACGCTCATGTAAAAACGCACTATGGAAACGCTGGAGTGGCGAGTATCTGAAGGCATTACGTGAACGGCACAACAGGAATCGGAAAGAAAAGTTAATTTCTCCCGCGTTCGGTGACGTAGTTATCGTGCGTAGCGACGAAAAGAATCAACGACGCGGTCTAAATTTTAGCTCAAGAATGAGCGCTAAGCAATTCGATTACTGTAATAAATATTTGACTCTTTCAAATAACCTTACAAAATGCTACGTTCGGCTGAAGCGATGCAATGTTTGCTGTAATTTCGACTTTTAGTAACACCTCTTGGGTCGCATTAAGTTTTCACGTTGCCTGTAAGACGTAATAATGCTTTTTTAACGTTGTGTTGAGAACGACAACGCGGTTGACAATACTCGCGGGACCACAAAGTATTGACAGCTTTTGTCTTGCATGACAAATTTCTTTGTAAGTTCTTTGTAGGTTTGCATGGCGATAAAACACATAATACTATTGTTTGTGAAAACACCAAATTTCTTTGTTTTCAAAGCGCGTCGTCGAGCCGGCCGCGTCGTAGATCGTAAACTCCCTATTCCCTGGACGTGACGGGATCGTTCGAGCAGTCAAGTTGCGTTGCGGAAGATCTTACCTAGAACGAGCGGTCCAACATCTCTATCCTCTCGAGTTAAAGTGCGAGGCGAAGAAACAGTCGAAGGACGTCAAACTAGATCCGGAAGCGAGGTCATTTCCTCCGAAGCGAGATGCAGCAGTGGCTGCAGAATTAAGAGTGGAAGAACTTGCCCAAGAGGACAATTGAGTATCTTTTTGAATAGTGTTCTAGCTTGTTTACCAACTAGTCTATTATATTTAAATCGTAGAACGTGTTTTGTTCCTCAGTCGAAAGAGCTGATTACTGATAATTCATTATCTCATTTATAGAAAAGTGTGTTAGAATAGTTTCCTTGTGCATGTATCTCCTTCCAGGAGTTACATGGGGGAGTGTGTCGGAAACTATACAGATTAGGGGGTAATGACGTAGGTGACATATCACGTGATTCTTTTAGGTGCTATCATCTTAGTGATTTGGGGGTTGGGAATTAATAATAACTTTGTACTTGTTGGTGTTGGGACTCGTGATTTGTGACTTTGTGAAAGTGTGGATTTCTACAACGTGTTCCCCACAATTGTACGAGAAATCAAGAGACCCAAAACCGTTCTCGAACATTTGCCACACCACCGTGAAGTGTGGCGAGGTGAGCTTGCTCAATCATTTTCTCTGTGTAAGTGCAGTCCCGAGGCAGATAAATCGGGTATTTGCCTTCGATCCTACCACCACATTCAAGGATCCCCATCTCGTTCGGCTGAAGGTTAAGCTCACGTTTGATCGCTTCGATCTCCTGGCTATTTTCTGCTTCGCGCTGTGCCTTTTGATCCACCACAGATCTCGCTCTTTGATTTCCCATATTTTTAACGGTCCTAAATCTCAGGTTGAGTCTGACAGTTTCTGGCGAATCTCTGAATCCAGGCGCAGATTCTCAAAACCTTTCGCAAAGGGTACTTTTCGATCAACTTGTCAAAGACATCGCTTTCTGTGGGTTGACTCCTCCTGCGTTACAAACTTTTCTGCTGGTTCCGCGTCGACGAGCCATTCTCAAGCCATGGTCAATTTCGTCACTCCATTCGTTAATTTTCGAAAGTTCTTCCTTCTCGGTTATTTTAGCTGCTTCGACAGTGCGTTTGCACTCGTTCGTTTCTTTTGCAGTTTGTAACGCCTCAAGGTGCCGCTTAATAGCTACTCGCTTACCTGAGTCAAGAATGGCTTGCGTTCTTTCGACTCCAATGCTTAGTTGCGTTAACTTCGTCTCCAGGTCCGTCATCTCTTTCTCCATACTCGTACAAGTGTTCACTTTAAGTCTTTAATGTGCTTTGAATAAACTGGCGGTACAGTTATCCCGTTCAAGAAGTGCCACTATGTCGAAAATGTTCCCTCCATTGAACTGTTGTTCTCGACACGAGAGAGAGAGAGAGAGAGAGAGAGAGAGAGAGAGAGAGAGAGAGAGAGAGAGAGAGAGAGAGAGAGAGAGAGAGAGTTTCTGTATTCTTTCAATTTGATTACACAAATACTCTGGCAAATTGCTATGAAATGTCTGGCAGGCATATTCTAGAATTGATCGGATGCACGTACAGTAGAATTGCACTAAAGAATTTACGTCCACACCTGCTCTTTTTAATATTCTTAGAAGATATAGCCGCTTTGATGCCTTATGCGTAATCTCGGTTACATGATCATTCCATTTAAGATCTTCCCTAATAGTTACACCAAGAATTTTTGCAGATTGCACGACTTCAAAAGCTAGGTCGTTGACAGTTATTGGGTCGTCTATATGTCGATATGTCTAGTAAAGTCAATGCGGAGCTCTTTACATTTCAGAGAATTTAACTGGAAATTATTTTCGTTCGACCAGCGATTTATCTGATCCACCTGTACCTGTAGTCTACTTGATCCGGTTTTTGGGATAATTTCGGAAACTGTAGTGTCGTCTGCAAATTTCCACAAATCAGAGGAGTTACCAGGTATCGCTAAATCATTTATCATCGCTAAAAATAGCCAATCTTAGTAACTTGCGGAATTACAGCTGGAACTATTTTGGAATTTGAAAAGCAATCCGAATTAAGCTTTAGACGCTGTGATCTCCCACGTAGAAAGTCAGCAATCCAATTTACAACTGTCGGTTTGACTCCAAGGCTAAAAAGTTTGGCAATTAGAATATTGTGGCCCACTAAGTCAAATGCTTTTCTGTAATCCAGAAGTGCAACCCTGACGCGCGAACCAGTGCCATCCGTGTTTTCCAACCAGCGATGTAACATCGAAATTAAAGCAAAAGTAGTACATGAATCGGGCACAAAACCAAATTGATTTGGATCCATTGCTTTCAGCAGCGTAGGTCTTATTTCCTGCTCGATGATGCATGACTCAGCAATCTTGGATAAAGTTGGTGTTAATGAGATTGGTCTTAGATCTTTATTGAAGTCTTCAATGGCAACTGTTTTTGGTAAGGGTGTAACATTAGCCAATTTCCACACACGAGGTACTTTTGATTCCCGGAAGGATGCATTAATTATGTTTGTGATGGCTGGGGATAATATATCAGAGAATGTTTTTAAAACCCAATTGGGTATACCGTCAGGGCCTCCCGCTCTTGATATATTGATCTGCCGAAGTTTTTTTCGCGATTGACTCCTCGTCCACTACAATTGGTTCATCATGGTCCGTCAACACGCATACGTCCTCCGATAACGGCGTATAATTGTCCATTACACTAACAAAGGCTTTCATAATTTCATTAGCCAGATCTTGATCACTACTCTCTGCATTTGTTCTTAATATCGACCGAATATCTCTTCTCGCTGCTTTAGACGTGCCACAAAACTGCTTTACTTCTCGCCACCAATCACGGGGTTTGGTATGCTGTAGATCTTGTACGTTGTTCTTGTAGTATATCATTCGACACCTTTTCCTCTCACGGTTAACTTTGTTCGCAACAATTTATAGAGAAACACGTCACCCGAGGAGAAGGCTTTTTGTCGTCTCTTTATAAGTTGTTTTAAGTTAGCATTCATCCAAGGTTTATCCGTTTCGTGGACTTTAATAGAACGCTCAGGCATAATCGTGTTCAAACCGTATCGTATTATTTCAGTAAATATATTCAACTTTTCGTCGCTAGACTGGGCTTTAAACAGCAAGTCAGTCCACGGTATCTTCATGAAGAATCGGCCGAGACTTGCGATATTGCTGCGTTTCTTTGGACGAATTCTAATAGTTTTTCTTTGTAGTTTCGATCTTTCGCGTACTTTTGGAAATACAGTAATAGTTATATGATCTGACAGCCCAAAGAGAGGATTTTTAGTTGGTGGTTGATAGTAGTTCTGCATATTTGTATATATTTGGTCAAGAGTGTTCGAACCTCTGGTAGGGAAGTTTATTGTAGGCTTTAATTCATAGCATCTAGCTGCAGTTTTAAAGCTCAGCTTATTGAAATCTCCAGCCAGTATTATGGCACTGTTTGAAAATTGGGTCTCGACCATCTCTAATGTGGACTTTAGATATTCGCTCATGGTCGTATTATCAGCGTCGGGTGGATGATATAAGCAGGCGACGATAATATTCGAAAACCCGCGCGGTAAACGCCTAGGACGTAATAATAGCCAAAGTACTTCATGTTCGTCATTGTGAAATTCCGATAGCATTTTAGATTCTATTGATTCTTTTACATATATACAGACTCCTCCATGTGCTCGTATTTCGCGATCACGTCTAAAGAGGCGGTAATCCTTGATTTCTATTGGCCGTCAGGAATTGAATCTCTTAACCAAGTTTCACTAAACATTGCGATTTCTATATCATGTTGTTTTATAAAAAAGGAAACTTCATCAATTTTTGGCACTATAAACATGCAGTTTGACAATAAAAACGAAGGAACAAAACAGAGCCTTTTTGTCTTCAGGATCGATTTACCAATGTTATTGGCATCGGCCTCCGCTACATTAGTCCTGGCAAGGGGGGGAGGGGGGAGACTAACAGTCTTATTAGGATTGTTTAAGTCCTCAGAGCTTGGCGAACAAAAACCAGATAATTCAGCCAATCTTCCCTCCGATCTTGGTAAGACGGTGGGTGGGTTGAGTGCCAACTTCCACGGTGTTTCCGGAAGGGAGGGTAATAATTCCGAGTGGGAAAATGGTAATCCGTGTAACTGCAATTGTTCCCAGGGCGAGAAGGAAAATTTTCCTTATTAATCTTTCCCTTTTTATTCTCAATTTCCTCACTTTGTTTTCTACTCGGTACTTCAAAAAGCGGTAGGTAATTTAACCAATTCGAGGATTTCGTATGCAAGTTTTCAGCTTGTTGGGACTTTGGTCGATCCGGTTGTTGTTGTTTTTTTTTGCGCGACCTTACTTTATCAGGATTTGCAACGGGCACAGATCTAGCTTTGTCCTGTGGCTTTGTATGGTACTCATTATTTGAACATCGTTCATCGTTCTGGTCGTCGTTCTGAATTTGCATTTCAATTGATTTACCTTCTAATTGGGTACATTTAGATGTTGTTTCTAAATTTATGCACATATTTGGAAGTGTTAGTTGATCATTAATCGCTTCAACGGTTCTAATTCTATCATGGAGTGAAGCTATTGTTTCATTCAGTTCGTCGACTTCGATATTTCTCTCTCTTACAAACAAAGCTAGGTCCGATTCGAGTCGATTACTTTTATCCTTTTCGCGGGAAAAATCTTGTTTAAGTTGGGATATATTGACATGCTCTCCTGCAAATTTGCTAACAACAGAGTCCAATTTAATCTCGAAATTCTTTTGCATAATAACTAACTCGAGTTTGACCCCTTCGAGTTCGGCGGTCAAAACTCCACAGTTACAAGCACAGTTATTCAACGCAGTGTGTTCCTCCTGGGAAAGTTTATTAGCTAGAACAGGAGCCAGGCGATGAACAATACCATCTTGTTTATTTTCAAACGGGACAGGGGCATCAGTAACCGCTTTTCCATTCTTATACGAAGCATTAGGGCAGCCAAGCGCGCTCGTAGTGTTTGATTGTGGGTGTTTAACTTCATCAATACAATTGCCCAGCCCCTTACGATTCACTGTATTTTCGACATCACTCATAGACGACAACTCGCAGCGATTGATTAGGTTTTCCTTTGCTTGTTTGCCTATTTTGCCGTTAAATGTAAGAGTATTCAGTTTACCTGGGTACCATATTGTACTGAAGTCGGCGTTTGCAGCATCAAACTTCTTCGAGCTTTCTCCGAAAGACCGCCATTTCCCGTCTAAGCCGAAAGCAGCTTCGATAAAAATTTTCAATGACTCGTAATCTTTACACCATTTTACTCTCGTTCCGTCGTACGTAATACTCTCTGATTTAATTGACTCATTTATAATGTTGGAATCCCAACTAGCAGTGTGATTATTAACACTTGTGTTGGAGCTTCCGTGAACGTGACCGTCCGCCATGACACGCGAGGGGTTTTATTAAAATGTCCACAAATAAAATTAACGTATTAAAAGGTAAAATTCTCACAAATCACGATACACGATCCCAAATTAGCGCATGGGCTATACAAATCACACTTGTCACTGTTGTTACATTCACTCTGTCTCACACTAAGATTCACTTCACACTAACTCTCTGTTACGCCTAACTTAAGTGTTTGAAACTCTATCCTCTAATCTACCATAAGGCTACGTCATGCACTAATTATTAACTATGAAAAATATGCTGTAAAATTGGCTTATCTGTTCTATCAGTCCCGACAATGCAACATCACTTACTCGTTAATTATCTTTTTTATTAAAATGTACATAATTGGAATATGACAAAAATTTATGGCAAGTTTATGGCAATGTTCAATTATTTTTCGTATGAGCTGCGCACATTGCATTTTGGGTATTTGTGCATTCCATTTTGGGTCTATCTGTTGATTAAAATTCAGAATTTTGCTAGCTATATACATGAATTAAATTTGCTGCTTTGCTCCTCCCTGTGGTAGCAATAATCCTTGCATGTCAAATTTTTCTCCACTATAATAAATAACTGGACCCCCCCTTCTGAACTAATATCTTTAGGTGCCCCCCCTTTACAGTAAAAAATACCTCATGACCCACCCCCTTTTTTGCCAGTCCAGCCCCAGTCATAAATAATGAATGTCCTTTATTACAAGGAATAATAATTTATAGACAGGGATGCCGGAACGATGATGATATTATCATCGGTTCAAAGCAGCAAATGTCAAAGATTAACATATATGAAATTACAGTTGGTGAATCTACGATCGAGCCTGTGGAGGTGGTTCAAAGCCTCGGAATGTGGTTTGACTCACATATGTCGATGGATATTCACATTGGAAAAGTGTGTAGTAAGGCGTTTCGCAGCCTCTATAATATCCGGCAGATAAGGAAATTCCTTTCAGAAGTTACAACAAAGATTTTGGTTCATGCTTTTGTTACTTCACACCATGGACTACTGTATCTCATTGTTTTATGGTCTCCCACAGTCTCAATATGATAGGTTACAAAGAGTTCTTAATGCTGCAGCACGTGTGGTCTGTTTAATCCCCAAATTCGATCATATTACTCCCGTTTTGATTGGCCTTCATTGGCTTCCTGTACGGTATCGGGTGATTTTCAAGATTTTGTTGCTGGTGTACAAGGCTCTTCATGCTAATGCACCGCCTTATATCTCAGACCTTCTGACACCTAAGCATATTGGCTGCTACAGCCTGCGCTCGAATGAGCAAAATTTGCTAATAGTTCCTAAGACAATGAGGAAAACGTTTGGCGACAGAGCTTTTGCCAAGGCTGGTCCATTTTTGTGGAATGAACTTCCCGCTGACATTCGTGAAGCGTCAACAGTGGAAACTTTTAAAAGCAGACTTAAGACCTTTCTTTTCAGAAAGGCATTTTATCTTTAAATATAATAGTAAATTTGAACTTCCCGCTGACATTCGTGAAGCGTCAACAGTGGAAACTTTTAAAAGCAGACTTAAGACCTTTCTTTTCAGAAAGGCATTTTATCTTTAAATATAATAGTAAATTTGAACATGTATATATAGGTATCATCTCATACTTTATAACATTTTATTTGAATTTGTAATGATAGCGCTTTAGAATATTTATAGTGTTTAGCGCTTTATAAATTAATAAATTATTATAATTATTATTATAAGGCAAAGGGGGGGCGGACGCACACAAAGGGACCTCTATAGAGCAAAACTTACCCCCCCCCGTCGCCAAAAAATTTTCGGTCAGTGTACCATTTCAGGGGACAAAAATTTTTTCCGGACATACCAAAAGTCAAATATAAACTATAAACTGCCTGAATCTCATGATTTTCCTACAAAAAGCATCGTTGGAAGTGTGATTTATCACGTAGTATTTTACAACTAAAAGGGCACTTCTGCCCCCCCCCCTGCCCCCCCTAGCAAAAGGCAAGGGGGGCAGCCGCCCCTCCTGCCCCCCCAGTTCCGGCGTCCCTGTTTATAGAAACGCTGAAGTAACAGATTAGCGGTTAACAATTAATGCATGGTTTACTTCGTTATTTAAGCTGAGATATCTTTTTTTCCTCCGCTTAAATGATAGCGGTGTATATTAATATATTCGTGTTTTTTGCCCTACGAATTTCTTTTGAATTTAACTTGATTTCAAAAGAAATTAGTGGGGCAGAGTACGAATATATGAATATCCCCCCCCGCCAATTAACGCTCTAGTTACACCTCTGAGCTTGATTGCGGCGAAACACAATGAATGCATTTGAGAGGTGTTTCTTGAGTTTTACGTTCAAAACAGCTTAATTAAAGGCCACGTACCGTTTTACATTTAGGATGAACAAAAAGAGTGTTTACGAACTTTGTTCATGAAGATCTAGAGATAGAATAGCTGTGGTGTGTTTATTGGAATACTGTCTGTTAGCCGCGTCTCGTTTACGAGCGTGTTCGTTTTCATTGGCGACAAATAGTTTTTTCTTGATGATTTTGTTGATTCTTGAGTAGAAGAGAGAGCGAAACAGTTTCTGCTAATTCGGTGTGCCTTATTTTATAATTTTAATGTTTGAAATTAATAAAAAGTTTAATAAAAGGTTTAATAAAATAATTCAGTAATAAAAGTTTGTCTTTTTAAAAAAATATGCCCTTTTGATAGCAAATCGCACAACTGCCAGTCAGCAATCTCCGGCAGTCCTGGGAAAGCGACGTGTTTGGCAACAGGATCGGCAACCGGATGTCAATCATAGCGTCAGCAGCTGTTGTTTGAAACCTGGAGCAGCAGCCAATATAGTTTCAAAAAACGAATGACAATCGCCATCACTCCTATCAATCAAGGCTTGATTGACTCCACTTGCAGCACATGTTGTCAAAATCGTTGCTTTCCTAAGCTCTTCAATAATCTTGTCAATCTATCAATCCATATTCTCACATTTTGCATATATTTTTCAGCGTGCTCAAAGACGACAAAATGAAGGTGAGTAACGAGGGTAGATATTGCCCGCTTTCAGGAAGTATGATATGGGACGTTGTTCAGCTTCAGAACATGTTGATACATCAGGAAGAAACTTAATTAAATTCTCTCATTTCTCTTTATGTACCCTCGAGTACAAAGCAATTGTATAATAAAAATAATTAACATTAGTGCCGATGGTTTTGTTTTTTAAACATGGGTGTCCATTGTATCTACTAATCTACAATAAGTTACACAGTTTGTTTCTGGGTTGTCTCGAAAAACTATTTCAAGGTTGGAGACCTAGGCCCGTTTCAGACGGCGTACTCTTCATGTGCCGAACTTAATTGTATTAGATGCGACACAAGAACGGTAGTGATTCAAACGGCGTACCAAATACAATGTCATTGACAAGGTCGGGGCGCATTCGCCAGCGAAACCTAAATAAAATTCAAAATAAATAAGTTTATTTTTAGACTAAAGTTGAGTTAAGTTTGGCACATGAGTGGAGCGGCGTAGTGATCAATGTCGCTCCAACGTCGCATAATGCGACAAGCTCTGCCGAACTTGTGTCGAACTTTTGCCGTTCCAAATTCTGCCGTACTTAATTAATTCATACGTCGCTCTTCTGCCGTACCTAATTCATCAATTAAGTTCGGCACATGATAAGTACGCCGTCTGAAAGGGCCCTAGTGTACGTAGTAATTATTTCAAGCGTGCATAGTGATCCAGTGTAGGTAGCAATGTATCATTTATGGAGCAATATACAATTACTTTATGGTTCCCGTGTTTGGATGGCCTGATCCAAACAAGCGGGAATGTTGCGAGAGTTAAGAAAAGCGAGCGAAACACAAGCCGAAGGCAAGTGATTTTGCCCGCTTTTCTTAACTCTCGCAACATTCCCAAGTGTTTTGATCAGACCATGCAAACACGGAAACCATGAAGTGATTGTTTTATAAAATAACAACAACACAATAGTCTTCCGTGTTTGAATGGCCTGATCCAAACACGGGTTTCGACCAATCAGAACACGCGTTATATACATGTTGTTTTATAATAAAATTTACCAAATAATCGTTGCTGTATTCTTAGCAAACCCAGTTTTGAGCTAAAATAGTTTTTTCTGTATGTATTTAAACTTAGTTATTTTAATTACGATTTCCTTCTATCCTTGGCGGATAGAAGAGACAGACTATGCAGAGAACTTTTTAACTCAGTATCGATTAACAATAACCATAAATTAGCGGATTTACTACCACCACTAAATTCAAATAATATAAATCTTAGGTCCACTTCAAAATATGACTTGCCGGTTTTGAAGACGAATCGTTTTAAAGACAGTTTTATTAACTATTACGCTTCAAAAGTTCAACGATAAGACTCTAATAAATATTTATAGTAGATATTTTTAATATAATTCATATTCAATTCATACATATCGATATTCGATATTCTAATGTAAGTTTTAGTCAGTTGCATGCATAATAGTTAGTAGAAGTAGGATTTAAATTACTTTGTAATTGACACGTAATTCAGTCCCCGGACTGCGATGTTTTATTAACTATTACGCTTCAAAAGTTCAACGATAAGACTCTAATGAATATTTATAGTAGATATTTTTAATATAATTCATATTCTTAATATAATTCATACATATCGATATTCGATATTCTAATGTAAGTTTTAGTCAGTTGCATGCATAATAGTTAGTAGAAGTAGGATTTAAATTACTTTGTAATTGACACGTAATTCAGTCCCCGGACTGCGATGTGTAAATTTTAATAAACTTTTCCTCTCTCTCTTCCTCTCTCTAACTATAAATCGATATGGCTTGCATCTTACCGTACATCTGGGAAGGACAGTTTAGGAATGATAGAGTTGTCCAGTAAATAAAGTTAGTAATGTTCAGGTCATTTATTTATTCATTTTTTTATTTTGGTACAGATCATACGGAGCAAGGACAAGGAGAGGAAGATGAGGTATGTAATGTTTGTACATTAGTTATTTTAGGCCCCATTAATTCT